ATGTCTAAGCCTTTCTAATCATGTGTAAAATACCCTAATACCAGGCAGAGGTAATAGTATTCAGATATAGTGTTGGTAAACACAGGAAAAATTTGACAAAAAGTACCTGTGGCTGAAAGTGATCCCTCTATCCAAATTTAACAGTGGTTCTGAGGTCTAGGGACTCTGAGGGCTAGCTTTTGGGGATGTCGACCTAGATGGTAATTTTCAGATCAGTATTACAGAGCGGGTTCTGGCTAGAACTATGTGTCTAGTTACGACTTTGAGGGATTCTCAGGTGTAGAGGGTAACACCTTAATACTCCATTTAAAGATTCCTATGTACTAGATACTGTAACTTTAAAAAAAAAATTTATCTTTTATTTTCATATACTGCGCTTTTCGTATATTACGTCTTAATTTTTTTAACTCGATCAATAAATTATTTAATAAAAAGTAAAAGACAAAACTTTTTTCATATATAGTGTCTTATTTTTACTTGGCTTCAAAATGCAAAAATTTCTCACTATACTAAAATATAACAAAAACTACATTTATATAAATCCAACTACATTGCATTAGCAGTTTACAAATGCATATGCCTATTATTGCATGGTAAATATCAGAAATCCTACATATAAAAATTGAACCTTTGTGTAAAATCTATAAAAATATGGAAAGAAATTAAAAAAAATTCAGAAGAAGAAATTAAAAATCAAATCAAAACTTATTTTGCCCATTCCTTTGCATTTGCAAAATTTTATACAATCATGTTCTTCTTATACTCTACAATCACCTGATTCTCAGCTATCAAATTCTACAAGATGAAATATAATTGTTATTGAAGAAGAAGTGCCTAAAAATGCTGCAGCACAGAAAAAATCTCTTGCTAATAAAAGAGAAATGGCTACAAAATTACTTAATTTATAAGAATCCTACAAAATAACAAAAGATCCAGAATTAAAGCATGATATTTTACAATGAATTGTATTAACTGAAAAAGTAATAGCTGATGAAACTAAAAAAATTAAAATATTAAAACAAAACGCAGCCTATCAAGTAAATCAGCAGCAAAAAAATTAAAATTACTAAATGAAAATCAAGAAATAGTGAAATATGACTCACCTGGTCGACTATCTATTCTTTATACATATTCTAATCTTCATGAATATATTCATGATTGCATTGAATTTGAAAAGGCACATGAAAAATGAAGACGAGAAGTAATTAAAGTAAGAATAGTTCATCATCTTCATTCTGCATTAGAGGAAAAATATAATGAATATCTTACAAGAACAACATTGAATACATACCTTTTATCGCAAAATTCTTTAAGCTTTGCTGCAAAAGCACATCACCATCTCATATTAGTAGCAGTAGCAGGTATTTCTAGAATGGAAATAAAAGAACATATTGATGAGCACTATTGTCTTGCTTTTGTTAAAGGAGCAAAACAATTTGCTGCATTATTTTCTTCCCATTCTGTCATTATTTTACAAGATGATAAAGCGAAAGTCCTTCTTGGTATTCCTGCTATTAGTAGAACATTTCAAATAATACAATCAATTCAAGAAGCTATTTCAATTGCAGATCATGATTTTCCAACTGAAGCTTAACAGAAATTGATTTCATCTGTTTACCTTACTATTGATCTTTCAAATTCTAATGATATATTTCATCATAGTCAATTAGGTATTTTTGTTCGTCTACAATATAATGTAGGTATAAATGCAAATACACATATAGCAGATTTAATTTCACTCACTCATCAAGAATCATTTGCTAGTATTTTTAAAAATAATGATCAAATTAAACCAATTTGGATTCTTCTTGTTGATGAAAGGCCAGATAAAAATCCTTGACATCTAAAAAATATATATGAATATTGTAAATTATTCCAACTTCTTGATCTTGATTATTTAACAGTAAGAATATATGCCCCTGGTCAATCAGCATATAATCCTATTGAAAGAAGTATGTGTATTCTTTCTGAAAAGTTAGCTGACATAACTTTACTAATTGATAAATTTGGTTCTCATTTGAATAGTCAAGAAAAGGTTAGAGATTCAGAACTTATAAAGAAAATTTTTCGTCATGCTGAAGAAGCTCTGTGTACCCTTTAAAATCGAGACCAGATCTTTGAAAAACTAGTATTAATCCAATATATTGAGAATAATATTTCCCCATTTTTAAATACACATCAGCAAGCAAATGAAAAAGAAATAGAAGAATCTGAAGTTCCTTAGAAGTGGATAGAAAATCACACCTAAATTTGCTGATATAACCTTGATATTAAAAAATGTAACAATATTTCCTGCTGTAATCCTAAAAAACATGAAGAGTCAGTTACTTTTCTTGCTGAAAATAATGGATTTTTACCACCAGTTTCAAAAGTTTGAGATGAGCATTTTCTCAATCCAGTCCACATTCTACAATATGCTGACAAATTAAAATTGCCACTTTATGATGCTCATTGTTCTTCTATTTTATTAGAGCAGTATACCCACCTTTACTATACTATATGTGATAAATATTTTCCAACGTTAACAATGATAACAAAACACAAAAAATCAGAACATATTTCTAAAAGAAAGTCTCGAAAAACAAAAATTTCCAATTCTATTGATGATTTTAGTGTACTTCCAGCTGGCTCATCTCAAAGAATAATTTTAGATTCTAGCCATGAGTGTATTTTGGATTATGAATAAAAAAATTTTGATGAAAGCATTATGATGTAATTTGTATTACACAATAAAGTTAAAGTTTTTAATCTAATTTTAATCTGGTAAATTTAAGGTCTAATCTTATAATCAAATAAAGAAATTGAGATCTGAGACAATCCATATACACTCCTTCCCCCTATTATATCAGCTAATATCTGTTACAGTCCTAATATTAATTTTTTAATAACCAATTCTAATAGTACAAAAATTTACTTAAAAACTACTAATGTACATGATCTATTGAAAAATTAAAATCTTTTAATATATCTTTCCATTTTAATAAAAAGGTATTAAAAGCCTTTTAAGTATATTACTAATCTAAGATATTCTAATATTTTATATTATTAATAAGCTAAGTGATAAATCTTTAATTTTTTAATACAATGATTTACTTCTCAAACTTTAAAATTTTAAGGCATTTTTCCTCCTATCAGTATCTGAAATTTGTAATCATTTACTATTAAAAATTTTTTATTTTCTATAGAATGAATAAAAATCTAAAACTTTTATTTTTATATAAATTTAATGAAAACTTTTTTTTCAAAAATATTTAAAGCTAAAACTAAAAATTAATTTATAAAAGTCTATTAATAATAATATAAAATATAAAAATAAAATAAAATAATGTTTCTTTCATTATCTTATTATTTAAAAAAAAATATATATATCATTATGATTTTTGAGATTTACCAGTTCTAATAGTCTGATTATTCAATATTGAGATAATGATTCTGTAATTTTTTATTAAATTTATAATTTATTATTTTCTTTTATTTAATTAAAATTATATATTTAGTAAGGTAATTTTTAAGAAGAAAATAAGTAATATCTTTTAAGTCTTTATATAATGTTTATGTAATCTAAAATTAATATTTTATCATCTTTATCTTCTTTTTTAAGTTTTTTTCTACTCTTTTTAATAGTTTTTTATGATTTACTTTTCTTGATATTTATCTTCTGATAGGAATCACTAATTTATCATTGAATTCCTTTTCAGTTATCTTAATATTTAAGTTAAAAAGCTATAGTAATTAATTTTACTTATTAGAATTTACGATCTTAGGATTTTTTTTAAGTTTGTTATATTTAAATCAACTTAGCAATTTATTATATTTTAGAATTTAAGATTTATTTAGTCAAATTCATAATAATAAACTTAAAAGTAAATTAATATAAGATATTACAACAATTCCTAAATGAAGAATAATATTAAATGGAAAAGTAATTTATGTAAATTTAAATTAATTTCTTTATTAAATAATTTGAAACTTAGAAATTTACAAGTAAATTAATTTAAATTTAAGCAAAAAGTTATTTTATTTATATAAAATTGATTTATTATAAATTAATTAAATATAAATATATATTTTAATAAAAATATATTTAAATATAATAAAATAATAAATATTTAAATAAATTATAAAATAATAAATAAATTATAGATGTTAAAAGAATTACAGATAAAACTGAATAAATAAAATAAACAGATTGTATAAAAAATATAAAAGAAACAAAGAAACAAGTGAAACAGAAATATTATTGACCACTATTTGATAAAGTTAAAAGATTATTTAACATAAAATTATTATTGATCAATAAATTTTACATAATATTTAAAGTTATAATTTTTTCTATTAATAATGTTTATTAACTTCTTTTATAAATTTAATAGTATTCAAGTTATTTAAAAAAATCTATTTAATATTATTAAGAATACTGTTCTAATCAAATTTAATATTAATATTAGAAATATTTAATTATTAATATTATCAAAATCATAAATTACTTTATAAATATTAAACTAACCTTAATAAAAATTGAGATTTGATTAAATTTAAATATATTAAATAATTTTATTTATACTATGAAAATCAAATTTCTTGATCAAAATTCTAAAATTAAATAAATTAAAAAAATAAAACTTATATATTATTAATATTAAAACAATGTAAATAGAAGAAAAAATTGATTTGATGATTTATTATTTAATTAATTATTAAAAATTGGTATAGTATAAGATTATTTACTTTAATATTAATATTTAATTAAATTTAAACTTATTGAATAACTTTACTTAAATTATAAGTAGATTTTTTAAACTAAAATACCAAAATTTATCAAAATAGTAAAAGGTAAATTTATATAAAAAGATTTTTTTTTTTGTTATAATTTTTGTAGTATAGATAATAAATATATAATAAATAAACAAATTATGTAATACTAATAATAATCATTAATATTTATAAATTAGGTTAAGCTAATTTAATTATCTGTTTTACATTTTCCCCTTCTTAGATTTCTTAAAATCTGAACAATAAAAAAATTAATGATTTTCATATAACACTAATATATTTGTTAAAGATCTTCACATTACTTCTAATGTAACATTAATTTTAAACCTTAATTTTTTTCTTTAATTAAAACACGTAAAATACATAAAACAAATCTGCAAACATGTATTTTTGAAAAATCTAATATAACATTGCTTTAAAAAAAGGCTTAAAACATGTTTTTTTATAATTGTTCAAGTAAATGAGAATGCTAAAGAAAAGGATTTATTTTTAACTTTGTTCAATCTATTAACTTCTAAAGAATACTTTTACCATAATATATATATTAAAATTAGAAAAAGATATTAGACTTTGGATACCTGTGTATAAAGAATTAGAAGGCATATTATTATTAATGAAAACACTAGGATTTATATATCTCAAATATGTACTCCTTTCAGATAATATTATTATATCTTTATCACTATCAGTAGAATAACTTTTTAATGCTTTTATAAGGTTGATAGAATTTAGATTTTGACTTCTAGAGCTAAAATGTAAAAATTCGCGTATTGTATTATTGTATAATTATATTATTTAACTTTTTAGAGTAAGAATGTTGATTAGTTTAATGATGATCATGTTACTTATGAAAAATAGTTTATTAAATATTTAACTTAAGCTATTTAGTATATAGACCTACATCTAGAAAAATTATATTTAAGAGGATATAATCTTTTGTTATTATTAATTCTCTTTTAGTATATCAGCAAAATGATATTTATAATGAATATTATCAAAGAATAAAAAAAATAATAAATTACATGTTTAGAATTTTTTTAATTAGTTAATTCTATAGAGTTTTCTTTAACTAGGCATTAGATATCTAAAAATTGTTAGCAAAAAGTTATAGTAAATGTTTTGATTTTATATTTATAATGAAAAAATATTCTAATTATCTTGAAATTACTAATAATAATATGAAAAGTTTTCACAAAAGTAAAAGTCTAGCATATGAATACTCTACTAACTATAATATTTATCTCATTTCTAAATATAATAGAGATATTGATTCAAGATATTTAGATTAGGTTTTGATTTTACAACTAATAAACCATTTAATTTTATTAATCTTAATTTATACACATCAGATGATCCTATAAAAAAGCATTATTTTATTTATGATCTTCAGTTATCTATGCCTACAGGATTATACAGGTAAATTTCTTAAATTTGTTTATTTTATGAATTATTTATATTAAGATATTTGTATTTATTATAAATATCTTTATGATAATTATCTTAAGACACTTAACTTTATATAGAAAATGTCTAATATTGAAAAAGCCAGTAAGTATTATGAAACTCTTAAAGCATAAATTATTATTTAAATAAATGATACTATACTAACATATTGTATTAGATAAATAAGGAAAAATATATTTTAAAAGGTAAGTTGTAAGTATTATTTGTATAAAATATATATCAGTTTTTTATCAATTTTTATAAATGATGATTTAAATTGTGTTATTAAAAATAAAATAAAAAATTTTTTTCATTCAACTAAAAAAAATAAACTTAATTTTATAGTATTTTCTAGTTCGTTAACTTTTAAAGCCAATACTTAGAATACTATATCATAATTTAACTGACAATACTTTATTGATAAATAATCAAATAAGTAAAGATATAGAAGAAAGGTTACATATTATGATATTATTAGAAGATTTGTCTAAAGTAATTAATTTAAGAACTAATAATAAGTTTAACAGTTTAAAATTTGATATATTTTAAAAAAAACTTAATAGATATTTTAACGAAATATTATTTATTTATTTATATTATATAATTTATAATTTATTAAATAATTTTATTATTTTAACATAATAATACAGTTGTTAATGAATGCTGAGTAGATACTATTTTATATATTCCTTATACTATATTTATTCAAAAATTGCTAAATAGAATTATTTCTCATTTAAATGTAAGATACCATAGGTTACTTCTGCTAAATGATATTGCAATTCCATTAGAAGAATAAATAAGATTAAATTTTACACTATTTAATGTATATACTACTAAAGTCATATAATATATAAAACATTTTAATGTAAAGTATAAGATGCAATTCTGATTATTACAAAAATTAAGTAAAGATGAACATTACTGTTACATAATATTTAAATATGAGCATAAGTTTAATATTTAAATCAGAAATACACATGCTATATCTTAGTAGATGATAAGCATAAAGTACTAATTAGAGAGATTATACTAGTATTTATAGGTGTTTACAATAAAAAGACTCTAACATCAAATGAAGGAGAAATTACAGCTGCTAATCATGACTTCACTAAATTATCATTAATATTTTTTGTTACTTTATTTATTAAAATACCATTCAATATATTAGAATCCTTTTATAATAGAAAAGTGTATATATACTATAAAGATACTGTTTTCTAACTAAATAGTATATTAAGACATTCAACAGAATTTTTTAATCTTATAAATTGTCAATATTAAAATCAAAATTTATCTTTAATTTTGTTATTATATACTGATGAAGGATCTGATCACAGATATATTTTTAGATCAGTTTAAGTAGCTTTAATATGTTTGATTTGACAGTTGATTTTGATATGTTAATTGCAATTAGAATAGCTCTAAATCACAGTTAGTATAATTCTGCTAAAAGGATTATAAGTATAATAAATTATAAGCTTTAAGGTATTGCTATAAAAAGAGAAAAGATATCAATGGAGTTTGAAGATGAATTTGATATTTTAAAGATATTAGAAGATATACATGCAAAAGCAAATAAAAATTCAACCTTAAAAGTAGCTTTAGAACAATATATTAAAACAGTTTAAGAATTACTTCATGAAACATTTAGTTTAGAAAAATAAAGTTTTTAAAATTGAAGATCCTGTATCTTAAAGCTCTGCATAAGCCAGCTTGGCTTGGATTGCCACTGGCTCGAGCTGAGCTACTTTTTTTTTGGCTTGGCTTGGCTCGGCTTATGGAGATTAATTGATAAGCCAAGCCAAGCCAATGCGGCTTGCAAGCCGGCTCATTCAGCTTGCATTTATATTTAGAAACAAAAAACTGTCGATAGAAATGTTTCTCATAAAGAGAAATATTCTCAGAATGATTCTCTTTGAGAGAAACGTTCCCAGAATGATTCCCTTTGAGAGGAACGTTTCTGGAATGATTCCCTTCGAGAGAAACGTTTCCAGAATGATTTCCTTTGAGAGAATTATTTTCAGAGCGAATCCCATAAAGGTTTTCGCTTTCGGAGTGATTTTCTTGAAGGATTTCACTTCCGGAATGATTTCCTTGAAGGATTTCGCTTCCAAAATGATTTTCTTGAAAGATTTCACTTCTGAAACGATTCCTTGAAGGATTTCGCTTTTGAAACGATTTCCTTGAAAGATTTCACTTCTAGAATGATTTTCTTGAAGGATTTCGCTTCTGAAACGATTTCCTTGAAAGATTTCGCTTCTGAAATAATTTCCTTGAAGAATTTTACTTTCGGAGCAATTTTCTTTAAGAAAACACTCCAGATGCATTTTTCTTCAAAGGAAACATCACCGGGGCCATTTTTCTTCAAAGAAAACGTTACTGGAACCGTTTTTATTAAAAGAAAACATTACCAGAGCCATTTTTCTTTAAAGGAAACGTTACCAGGACTGTTTTTCTTCAAAGGAAATGTTACTAGAGTCGTTTTTATTTAAAGAAAAACTACCTTTAGAATTATTTTCTTTAAAGAAGAAAATACAAGCTAACGAGCTGAGCTGCAGCACGAGCCAAGCCACAGCATAAGCCAGCTTATCTGGCTCGCAGCTCATTTTATAGTAGCTTGAGTCAAGCCTAAACGAGTTAGCTCATTTGGCTTTCAAGTGGCTCAGCTTATGCGGAGCTCTACTGTATCTGATTTAGAAATTAATGAAATGTTTAAAGATGGTTCCTATAATTATTTTCAAATTTCAATTGAATTGCAATTTAATTGCACCATAAAGAAATTTAATTGCGCTACAAATTGCAACTCAATTGCACTATTTTTTTCAATTGCGGTGATCATCTTTAGAAATGTTTAAGGTAATGTTTTTATTACAAATTAAAATTTTTAATTTTATTTATTTATTTATTTTAATAAATTTTAATTTATTTTATTTTAAAGAATATATTACGAATTGATCTAATATTGACTAAAAATAAAACTATTTAACTTTAATTATGAAATATAAACCTTTAGTAGGGTTTATTAAAACTCATTACTAAGAAAAAGCATATTTTTTTTAGGTAATGAAATTATTTTATAAATAAGATTTTTTTTAAATATTAATTTTTTTATAAATTTTTAGATTAAAAAATGTAGTTAAACTACCTGTAAAATTTGTTATTCTATTAGAATGCTGATTGATAATTTTCAAAATTTAAATTTTTATCTGATCCAATACCATCACGAGGTATTTTTAATATGCTTACTAATAATAAATTTAGAATTTTTTTATCTATACTTTTTAAATAAATAATCCTAATTATTATGAAACCTTTGCAAATATATATAGTAAACTCACAGCTAAAAATTTTTAACCTTTTTTAATTAGTGAAAAATCTAGAAATAAACTAGCAATAAATAATATTCTTATCTCTGCTAAAATTAGAGATTATATAAAGTGCAATTCTTGTAAAAAATACAGTATTTTTATAGTAATTTACAATTAACAGAATAATAAAAGTAAGATTTAAACAATATATTACAGAATTATATTTATACATATAGATCACTAATTTTTTCAGATGATCATAATTTATTTCAAAAGATTTTTATTAGAATTCGAATTTCTTGTAATTCTTCTATTGAATTACTTTACTATTTTATAAAAAAAGCAAAAAAATTTTATTTTATTATTGGTGTGATACAAATAAAGATTTTATTACTCTGTTTCAATCTTTGCAAGAAAACTTTAAATTAGTATATCTTTTATATAGTATTTGTTATAAAAATGGAAAATTATTTTATAAATACTTGAAAAAGAAAGTTAATAAAAGGATAATTAAGAAACAAAAAATAAATTCATAATAATATTATTGTATTTAGCTATAAAATTTCAATAAAAAATTTTGATTATATAATTTTATGTAAAATTTTTTTTATTTAACCTCTCCTTAAACTTTTATAGGTAAAGTAATATAAAGCAAATAATTAAATTAGTTTAGCCTTAGCTATAAATATTATAATATCTTTTAAACTGTAAGTATAAAATTATTTTAAAATATTTTAAAAAACAAAATATTTTGATATCTAATGATTATAAAAAAATCAAAATAAAATTTTTAGATTTTATTATATTTTGATGTATATAATAGTAGTATTTTTAAACTTTTATAATTAATAATTATTAATATATATTAATTTTATTTTTTAAGTTTATTGGATTTATCATATTAAGACCTATTAAATAATAGTATTTTTATATTTCTGAGATTGATAGATAACAATATATATAAGTTTAAAATTTTAATTTTTTTTATAATAATTTATTATTTATTTATCTTTAAAAATTACTAGTTAATTACATTTTTTTTTACTTATAAAACAACATAAAAGTTATTATAAAAGTATTAATTTTTTTTAATAATATATTTAAATATTTAAATATAATTAAAAATGATTGTAATTGATAAATAAAATTGTCTGCAAATTTGTAGGCAAAACAATTAAAGGGATAGGTTTAATTTGATATATAATTGGCTACAAATCAGATAGATCTATTATATATTTGGTTTTTTTTTGATTTTGACTAATGAATTTCTGAATATCATTTTATAATCAAATTATTCAAGGTACTACTGATTCAAATTGAATTAAGTTTATATACTGTACATTTATTAATAAACTATAATATATTTAAATATTTAATGTAAATAACATTCATTTTTTAATAATAATAATTAAATTGAATAAATTTTTAATAAGTTATGTATTAATGATACTTTATACCGTATTAAAATTGATTATATTGAAAGGAGTAATCAGGTTGAAAATAAAACAACTAAATGACAATATGTTTACGCGATCAGTGATTTATGACGTAATGTGAAGTTTTTTATATAAATAGGGATACTTATTTGACTGGCCGATTTTTTTCTTTCTCACTACAACCACTACAATTTACATTCTTATTTTACAAAAATAATATGAATCAAGGACAAGGATATCCCATTGAACGCCAGGATGCGTTCATATTTTATAACGAGGGAGCATTTATTAGATGGAGGAACCCAGGGTATGTAGCAAAATCCATTTTCATTTAAAGCTGCCATTGTAATGGAAAGTATTGTCGTGATGTCAAAGTGAGAAATCTCTTGCTTTGGTAAAAACATACGATGCAGAGAGTTTTTACTTAGATCGTTCCTGTTTTATGTTATCACGATAACCTTTTTACCCTTGCTAATGAGAGTACAAGATATATAAGTATTCAGATTTAACAAGTGGTTCAATTCATATCATGCTGCTCTTTCGTAGGGATAAGTTACCCGCTTTAGCGTAAATGTGTCTACCAAAAAAAAATTTTTTTTATTTAATTAAAAAGGCGACGACGGAGAAGGACGGAACATTTTCGAATTAATCTAGCCGAATATCGGAGAAATTGGGTTCAAGAAAGAAGGAGGAAGTGGGATAGAATCTTTTGTAGGTTGATATTGGTGGGGATATTTGGTTTAATATTAACCATAATTGGGGAAATATACTTTCTATTCAAAACACGCTTTCAAACAATTTAATAAAAGTTTGAATATCTAATGATGATGTCACTGTTGTTCAATAAAGAATGTCGCAGATTGCATACGAGAACTCGTTAAGCTGGAAGGTTTCATTACAACAAGATTTGATCAATGTATCCGTAATGTATAATCCCAACATGATTATTAGACGTAATGGCATCGAACTTGGCGTCGATTGCAAAAAAATGGTAGCTGGATTTATTTGCCGTTGATATTCCTAAACCTATTAAACCGCGACCAAATTGGCCATATTCTTAAACTAACTCCAAATTAGTCCATTTTGTATATATTTCGTGGAAGGAGTTAAGCGAATAGTAATAAAGATAAAAACTGTTATGATCATGTCGATTACTCTCTCTCTCCCATTTCCAATGACCAGGAAATCAATAAGACTAAGGACAATTGGTTTGGTTGTTCCGATGACGAACTTTATTAATGATGATGTCACATGATACCGACGGCTAACATTTTTTTGCGATATTAATTGATTTATTGTTGCTTGGTACCTTTTATACTTTAAACATTATTGGAGATTATTTCCAGCGTTTTCGATACATTATTCTTTAATGTAAATCTTTCAACAGCAATAATTTTAAATAAAATGATTATGATTTAATTCATAGGATTTGTCGATTATAATTATAAAAGGAAATCCTATGCGGCGCAGTGAATTGGAGAGGATACAATAATATAATTTCAAACATTGTCCCCTAAAAGTGTTTAGAAAGGGTTTAATTACTTTTTTTTTTTTTTTTTGAGTAGTAACAGACATTTTGGGAAAAGTTCAAATTAGCGAATTATGGTTCCTTCCACAAGAAATTTCTTCAAACAACGAATTTTTGGAGATAGATGTCAACGATTCGATTTACCTCAAAAGAATAAAAATCTTTGTGTAAAAACCCACCTAGTTTGTGATGTTGCATGCTTCTTGCATCGCATGTATCGCACAAACAATTTGTTTACATTGGAAAAATTTTTTTTATCGATATTCATCGATACCAATTATGGTTAATGTGGCAAAATGAAACATTTGAAAAAAAAAAAAATTATTAAACATAAATATCTGAAAAAAAAAATCGGGTTTTCTTTTTTTTCTTTTTTACCTTTTAAAAAAAGGTTCATTGGACAAGGATACTAACCTTTTATGTATTAATGACGAACTATCATCTTAATTAAAAAATAAACGACCTGCAAAAAGTTCATCCCTTAATCGCACACCCTCTTGTCGTTCAACTAATTTTTGACCATGGAAAATTCAAGTACGTCCATGGGAAAGAATGAAAATCAAAAGATTAAACCAAGGTTACCCAACGATTGTATAGCAGAAATATTACCATATCTTAAGGATAACGTTCGAACGCTTTATTCATGCGCACGGGTCAGCAGATCATGGTGCCAATTAACCATACCGTTATTGTGGTCCAAACCCTTCGACTCTAATACGATCACACCAAATACAAAAATAATATCACTCATTCGAACGCTCGGGTTTTGCCTTGATAATCCAACGAAAAAATTTCTAATACGACAACATGGTTTTAATCCGGATGGATTTAAAATCACCAAACCATTTTTTGATTACCCATCATATATACGAGACTTTAATTATTCCATATTTTTAAGTTCGATTAGAATTTGGTTGAGAAAAGTATTAAAAAGGAAACCAGAATTGGAATTAACAACCTTACTATTCAAATTGATTGGGAATTTGATATGTTCACGTACACGTGGATTTGAATCATTAAACGTCTCTTATAATGATAGGGAAGAGAATGAATATGAATTAGATGATGAAGATAGCGAAGAGGATGATGATACCAATGTTGTCCGATACCTTTCCAACGATTACAATGATCTTTTAGAGAATAATAACCGAATGGAATTGTACGATATCACACTATTAGAGAATTTTAATTGTGCGATAAATAATATCGAAACGTTTACTTATTGTTACGTGGGCCTTTACATGGGAAGGAAGGAAAGGATCCTTTTTGAAGTGATGAAGAGAATTTTCGAAAAGTTGACCGAAAATTGTAAAAATATTAAAAGGTTAACGATATACGCGGTACCAGAAAATTTTATGGATGTGATATATTTACCGGTCGTATGTAAAGCAACGGCGAATTTGATCAAGGAACAAAAAAATATTTCATCAATCACATTTAATCAAGAGTGGGTGGACTCACCAAACAATCTATTTTATTCATCATTACTAAGCGAGAAGGTGATAACATCATTGAGATCATTAAAATTATGTCACATAAGTGATTTTGATGGTTTATTAAAAGTACTCTGCGGTTGTAACAACCTGGAAACCCTGGAATTCACGGATAAGTTTTACGTTTCGGATGAAGATCATGCGATACAACGTATGATGGAATTCCCACCCATTCACATTAAACATTTACATTTTTATAGTTTTGAATATGATGAATATGCTGGTATAGAAACCTTTATTTCATCGATTGAAGTATTATTTCGATTATCCAATAATAATTTACGATCATTAACAATCGGTGATGTGGATTCCAACATTATTAAATTGATCGGTACTTATTGTACAAATTTAAATTATCTATCAATTGAACTATTACCTGAATTATTTCCCGCCTTGAATCAAATTTTACTCTCGTTAAATAACCTTGAACATTTAATATTGGTCGAAGGAAAATATAGTATTTACCCTAGAAATAATAATGGTAGAAGACTTTTTCCCGATTTGAATTTCAGGTATCCCGTTAAAACCTTTGCAAAGTCATTACCCACCTCTTTAAAACATCTTGGTCTTGATATTAATATTAACAATGAGGTATTAGATCACTTTTTAAGTGCTTTAAAGTGTCCCCTTCACACTTTGGATATTTATGATGGCATGAAAGTTGAATATTTGGAAATTATCATCAAATATGTTGAAAATAATAATAGGAATTTAAAGCAAGTTGGGTTTCGTTCCGTTAATGTCTCTTTAGGTAATGAGGAGTCTTTTAATAAATTTGGCAGGGTTATGGCTAGAATTTTTGGTCTGATTCAAAAGGTTTACATGGTTAAGAAACATTTGCATGATGGTTTTAGTGATTTCGCACCTACCAATGTTTGGTTTTTTTAATTTTCAGAAGGGGGAAGAGGATGTATTTATATCCACATGTATTAATATTTTATTAATGTGATTACATGTATTTTAACATATTTATTTATTTTATTTGTTATTTATTTCTTATTTATCTCTTAATAAAAAATTGATTAATCAAACTGGACACAAACTGCGCGCACGAGATAGAACGGATTAGGGTTCAATAAAAGGAATTCGAATGAAGACGTTTATGGTTTTTCATTCTAAAAAGTAATTTTGATTGGCCAATCTACATGATTGTTTAGCCTATATTAAGAAATATCGAAATGTCACTTACCGAATTATTTTATGATAGATAAAAGAACCCGAGATAATACCAATTTTTATTGATAAACTGCTTATCTTTGTGTCACAATCACCTGACGAACAAAGCGTCAATCAACTACTATTTCGTAAAAAAAAAAAAAATAAGAAATTGATAATTCCAAACCCTTGCTGATAAATATATTTTTTTCTTTAAAAAATTTCACTTTTTTTTATTTATTTATTTTTGTTTTTTGTTTTTGTTTTTAAAAAAAATTAAGAAAATAATATGCCAGAGTTATATTCAAGATTAGCAAATGACTTTGGAAAATTATTGGAAAATTCAGAAAATTACGACGTTATTATTGAAATAGGTGAAAATGATCAGATAAAAAGTTTTAAAGCCCATTCGCTGATACTTGGGGCAAGATCATCATATTTTCATTCGGCTTTGTTAAATAATTGGGCTCAAAGGCTTGAGAATGGATTGATCATTTTTAAAAAACCGAATATTACACCAGATGTATTTCAATATATCCTAAAGTAAATATCTTTTTTTTTTATATATATATACATTGGATATTTTAATCAATTCAATCTATCCTAACTCTATATATATCGACGATTTTCGCCACCCGTTTCACCTTGTAAAAAAATAATCTTAGGTATATTTATACAGGACAAATCGTTTATAATGAACAAAAAGCAAGCGAGATATTAGATTTGTTAGTGGCATCAGATGAATTATTACTGGATGAATTAATTGAGTATTTTCAAGAATATCTTATAGAAAAACATGATAATTGGTTAAAAAATAATGCGACTAAAGTTCTTCATACATGTTATCATCATGAATCATGTGAAAAATTATACAAGACATGTATGAATATGGTTTGTCTCAATCCACAAAGAATATTTGAATCAGAAAATTTCCATTTAATTGAACAACATGTTTTATCCTCAATCCTTAAAAGAGATGACTTATCCTTAAATGAATTTGAGATCTGGAATCATATCATAAATTGGGGAATTTACAATAATGATGACTTTGGAGAAAGTGAGAATGTTCATGAATGGTCAGATAAAGAGTTTAAATTATTAGGAGAAACTTTAAAAGAATTGATCCCCTTGATTAGATTCTCTAATATGAAATATAAAGAGTTTCATGATTATGTCATACCATATAAAAAGATCCTATCAAGTTCCTTTTTAATAGATTTGGAAAAAAAGTTTGATTCTTTGATAACAAATCAGACTTTAAATGGACCAACTAGAATTGTGCTATCAAGAAAGATAGATTCAAGAATAATTAGATATGATAATGCGTTAAAAGTTGAAACTTGGATCAGTAGATCAGATGGTACAATATCTGAAACCACCATACTTAAATATCAATGGAAACTATTATTTAGAGCAAGCCTTAATGGTTACACCGCAAAAGCTTTTCATGATAAATGTGACGATAAAGGTAGCTGTGTTGTTGTTGTTAAGATTAAAGATCAAGAACTTGTGATTGGTGGTTATAATCCTTTAGGTTGGTTAGAAAAAGAAGATTATTGCGTTGATGCTAAAGGAAGTTTTATCTATTACTTTGAAAGTTTATCTAATGCTAAAATTAGTAGGGTTAAAACTGACATGTTTTATGCTATACCTCAACATAAATTTTGTGGTCCGGAATTCGGTATGATTGATTTTTCTATTGTGAATTGTTGTAATGAATATAAAAATAATTCTTGTAATCCTAGTAGTAAATATGAGAATACTTTTACTATTGGTGATTTTTGTGTAGAGGATTATGAAGTTTTTCAAATTTTAAACAAATGATAACCTTTTGTTTAATTATTATTTTGAATTGTTTTTCGCCGGTTGCTATTTTATTATTTCGCTGATTAATACTTCTTTAAACTTGGACAAGGACAGTATCACCATGTATTTCATACGCGCACGTAAACATATATAATATCAACAGTCAGGTTTTTCTTGCATATTTATTAATAAAATGTCGTTTTTTTAAAAATAAAATTCATATATAATATAAAAAGTAAAATAGTTCCTGAAATCATCATATCTAATCTGAAAAACTGACAAGTAAATAAACATTTAAATACATTCCCTTCGCAAATATTCTATCAAGATGATCAAAATTAACATGAGGCCAATGCTGTTCAATTAATTTTAATTTCATTCTTTTTTTGCCATTATTATCGTCATATCCGATTGATGTTAATTCATTATAAGTTCCGATAAAGAATGGTGAAAAGTCTGTCGTGGATGGCGTTACTAATAATGTCCTATGAATAACATTTACATTCAGTTAAGAAAAAAAAAAATCTTTTTTTTTTTTTTTAAAAAAAGAAAGATGAGATTTAAATGAGATACCTTTCAAATATTCTCGAGTTGTTGGAATTTTTGTTCTGTTGAAAAATGATTTGTTCTCTCCATAAATTTTCAGTCAAGGAACTTTTAGATGGTACTTGTTTTGTTATTAGATTTTCAAGGTCACTCAATGGAGAACCGGCCAGATCATAAACGTTAACTTGAACATTTGTTCCTAACATGAATGAGAATATATATTAATTTAAAATCTTAATAAAATACAAAATCAAATGTTCAAATAATTACCTCTCCATGCTTTGGGATAACCAAGTAAATGACGTGGTGGCATGTATGTCTTGTAAAATATTATATTGGTAGTAAGAGTTTCAGTTGGATCGCTTACTGTAAAAGATGTAAATAAAGAATAAGTTTGGGAAAAAAATTATCATCAATCATCTGATAGTCAATAGTCGTGTGATACCTGGTATAAAGAATTTCTTTCCTAATTCACATTGAAAATATCCAGAAAGTTCTTCACATTTTTTAAATCTTAATGCTTGATTTTGTAATTTTTGCATTATGGGAACGATTCCCGCTTGGTGCAATCCTCCAAATATTGCAACAAATACCAGATTAAATACGGCCCAAATAGTCTATAGGAAAAAAAAAGTGTTAATCGTTATTTATTACAAGCAATAACAACTTTTTATAAGACAATCTACCCAAAATGACATATTAAGCTTATGAATCCTATCTGATGGTACAATTATAACGGGAAGTAAAAGTGGTAATAAGAATCTTGCTTCTTGATGTGGGATTAATGATAAAAACATAAATCCACACAATCCACTATAGACGATCACTAAAATAAAAAAATAAAAATTCGAGCGAGTTAAGAATTATTCTAGTGGAACTGGATTTTTATTTAGGTTCAAAACGATATTTAATTGTCAAAGATAAGACATTAATACTTACCAGTTTTATATGTTCTTTTAGATAACAATCTCATAAAATTTACACTGAACTGAAGATCCTTCATGGTTAATAATGTAAGTGGTCCAAATAATAATACAAAATTATAAATATGTAAATATCTAGGATGAAGTCCATGTTGAGATAAATTATTTGAATCCAAGTTATATGCAAAATTATTCAATGGAGTGATGATCAAATTACCCTATATAAGAAAGAAATTTGGTTTAAAACAAAGTTTTTTTTTTTCAAATTTTTTTTTTTTTTTTTTGAAATGAATTAAATTATACATACATGCCATCCAATCTCTACGAACTTCATTGGATTACGCAATAATTCAAATATATGATCTTTATCAAGAAGCGTCCCACTAAATGTAATATTTAATGCGCCAAAGTACAAAGAATCGGCTAATACACATATTACCGTTGTCATAATTAACCCTAGACATGCTGGTAAGAGCTCAGAGAATTTACTGTACCTAGTAATGTTGAAAAATATTTATATATATATATTATTGTTAATAATAAATAATTACATAATACACTACACACACCAAGATTTTCCTTGGGCTCTTGCAGATAAAAAGATATGATGGAGGAATGCCAATCCGATAGGAAATGCATATAAAATGAATGTGATCCTAGTAAATGAACCCAAAGCTACAATGCAACCAAATAGGAACGCAAGATTTACAGGAAATTCATCCTACATGATAAAATCATGAGTTGAATTTTTTTAGTACACAAGATATAAGAATCACGGCTCTTTTAATCGATATTTTCGTACTTTGTCAGTGGAAGAATCTCCATGCTGTTGTCGTAAAGGAAATTTTGGAGTTGATCCTTTCACATAAACGCAAAATGCAAGTGCTAATAAAATGGATTCAACAGAATTTGAAAATGGCCGAGTATTAAAGATAAGAACAACATAGGAAGACGCAAATACTAATAATGACCGTAAAGCATTATTAGGATAAAATAACTGAGCTATCGTATATGCGGTGTAATCTAATAATATTTGTGAATGATTTTTAACAACAATCCATACAACCCAATTGAACAATTTTTTTGTAAAGTTTAAATCATACCTATTCCAAAGGACAAGATAAAAATTGAAATCCTCTCAGTTATAAATATGGAATGTGAATTTAATATATCTAACCAAATATAATGTTATTTAAATATGATGTGATGTACCAAACACAAGTTTAAACGGAATGACTTAAATTACCATTAAATCCAAATTTAGTTGCCCACGTGTTTAAAATCTTTAAAACTTGAAATGGTATTCCTATAGTCATAGCTCTAAAAAAAAAAAAAAAAAAATATTCCATCATTATTATATGGAACAAGCCTAAAATATTAACATAAATTCTAGATGCTCACGGTATAACTATCGATCTACATTGGGGACTTTGAACGAATTCCCAAGGTCTGAAAACTTCATATCCAAGAACATCTCCTATAAAATAAATATGTGTCATGTAATTCCCAGAAATAATACTTCCAAATTAATGATGAATATAATACCAACCACCCATAATTTCGGGGGACTGAAAAAATTCATCGGGATGAACATATCCAGGCAAAGAAGCACACCAAAATCTTAGTATACATAATGATATGTATGCTATATTATTAAAACCACGTGCCATGGGTTCTATTGTAAATGCATACTTTTTAATGATTTCCGAGTAAAATCTGGAAAAACAAGAAACACTTTAACCCACCCTTTTGATCCAAATTTCGATCATTTGTCACAGGATCATAATTTTAAGATTAAAATATACTATGATAGATTTTGAACCAGTTTACAAAAAAAAAAAAAAAAAAAAAAAAAATTGATAAAAAAAAATTTTTTTCAAAGATTTTTTATTATACCTTCAAATTAAATATTATTCTTGTTCCAAAATTTCGAGTATAAGAATTTAAATTGCGAGGATCTACATCAATTCGGCGTAGTTATACCTGCCATACCTACCAGCTGATCTTACTTACATTGGTGAATCCTAATATAGATTAAGTCAAAACTTTTGGGAATATAGATTAAATCTACATCTGAAATTATTTTTTTTTTCGGATTTCTTTCTCAATTTTATTTAATTTATTTTTATTTATTTCGATTAAATACAAATCGTATACTCCTGAACAAAAATAATCGCTAATTTTTAATTTGTCAAATTAATAAATAAGGTTACTAAAAACAATAAAAAAAAAAAAATGAATGTAGATAATCCTTCGAAAAGACGTGGCATAGCTCCCGTCAAAGCAGAGTAATTTTCTTCAGTAATGTTCATGCGATTCTTCATAATATGAAACTTCATAAATATATATCTTAATAAACCGAAATTTAAATCAATAGATTTATTATTCGTAAACAAGAGGTACAAGATAAAGAAGAGAGTGTTTCACAGCCCGTTTTTGGTGATGAAGAAGAGAATTCTAAAAATGAGGTAAGGAAACCATAAATTTCAAATTTTTATTTCCATGTACTATGATTAAATTTTTAGTTTTTTATTTATAGGATCCAGTAAAAAAGAAACCTCGCGTAACAAGAAAACGAGGACAAAATAAGGAACGAGCAAATAAAACATTTGCCGAGCAAATTCGCGTTAGTACTTACTTTCATATTTAATGTTTATTATATGATTTGATCCGTTAATAATCCCATTTCATGTTAATAGTTGTGTCATAAAACCTCCTTGGGTGAGAAATGTGTCAATGAACTGTAAGTCCTGGTAATTACGATGTTCCAATATTTTATCATCTGAACGTTTTAAAAATACATAATTAATTATTTTTTAGCTGCAAGTTCAGCCATGATCTAGAAGAATTTTTAAAAATTAAAGGAGAGGATCTAGGCGATAGATGTGTAAACTTTGAGAGATTTGGAAAGTATGTATCTACAATTAAATTATTTTATTCTTTAGTGATATTATTTACAATTGTATAATTTCTTATGAATTTAAAGATGTCGGTTTGGATACAAATGTCGTTATTTAAAGGCTCATTTGTCACCTGATGGAAAGTTGATTGTGAGTGAGGAAGCATCTTCTAGAACACTTGTCGAAGAAAAAAATAATCAATCTGTTAATATTCAAAAACAACTCAGGACACACTCGGTATTGTAATATTATATGATTTTATGTACATATTTCATTCTAATAATTGTTTTTATTATTATAGTATAAATTTCCTAGAGCCGATGTATATCTTGCAGAAATGAGACAGGAAATTGAAAAACAGAAAGATTTAGAAAAAGCAAACAGGCAGGCAAGGTTAAATCTTGATGGTAAACTTAATCAGCCCGAAGAGATTTCGGATAAAGTCCAGGATAAAGTTGAGGATACGAACGAAAGTAATATTTTGAAAGATGAAAGGTCTGATGAAATTATAGATTCAAAAGAAGAAATTACAAATGCGAGAAAAAAGATAAAAATTGAACATAATGATTCTAATAGTGAAGAAAAGGGAAATATTGGAGAAAGTATTGATACAAAACCTAAAGAGGATGTTAATGTAGAAGAATTTATAGAATCTCCAGATGTGCCATTACGTATTTGTGAAAAGAAAAAGGTAGTATGTAATTTCCAGATTTTTTTTTTTAAAAAAAAAAAAATTTAAATTAACAGTCAATTAATTTTTCCTTTAAAATATAATTTTCAAGATAACATTTAAAAACAAGCTATATTTAGCACCGCTTACAACGGTTGGAAATTTACCTTTCCGACGTATTTGTAAAGAATTTGGAGCTGATATAACGTGTGGTGAAATGGCAATGGCAATAAACTTATTACAAGGACAGCAAAGTGAATGGGCCTTATTGAAAAGGCATATTAGTGAAGATTGTTTTGGGGTTCAAATTTGTGGGGCAAAAGCTGATCATCTTGTAAAGTGTGCCGAGTTGATAAATAATGAGATTGAAGCTGAATTTGTTGATGTAAATCTGGGCTGTCCTATCGATCTGATTTTTAATAAGGTTAAATGTTTACAAGTTCATTAACTAATGGAATTGAAGGTTTAATTGGTGAGAGAATCTCTCACACACAAAAATATGTATTTTTTAAAGGGGTGTGGAAGTAAACTATTGATGCACGATGGAAGATTAGGAAAAATTCTTAAGGGGATGAATAAGGTAAATCAATGTTACTACTCGTTTATTTTTATTTTATGACATTAATTATATTATCAGTTATGAATGATTAGGTTATGGACATTCCTGTAACAGTGAAATTGCGTACCGGAATATTGGATAATTCGCCACTTGCGCATAAATTGGTTCCTAAATTTCAGAATTGGGTAAATACATTATTGCTTCTCTTAACCTATTATGATTATTAGATATTAATTCTTCGTTTTACCTTTACCTTTAAAATAAATATTAGGGTGTTGCAATGGCTACGGTTTGTTCTAATTTTGTATTATAATTTGATAAATATATACTTGAATTTATAGAACCTTTTGAATTTATTTATAGTTACACGGTCGTTCACGTCAGCAAAGATACACAAAATTTGCCGACTGGAATTATATTTCTGAAGTCGCTCTCAAAGCAAATGAAATGGCTTTCTTTGGTAATCTTGTTAATCTTTTCATATAAAAAAGATATAATTAATTTTACTGACAACCGTAATATTATTATGTTAGGCAATGGAGATGTATTGGGATACGAAGATTATTACCAACACGTCGAAAATGATCACATTGATGGAATCATGATTGGACGTGGAGCTTTGGTATATTTTGCTAAAGCGTTGTCATTGTTTTTCTGTTAAATTTTTTAATTATTGATTAATTTCTTCAGATTAAACCCTGGATTTTTGATGAGATCAAATCTAAACGACATTATGACATTTCATCCAAGGAAAGATTTGATATATTGAAAAGATTTTGTGATTACGGAATGGAACATTGGGGCTCTGATACAATTGTTAGTTGAAAGTTCCTCATACATGTTTTTGTAAAGTTGGTTGAGTTCAAATTCTTATATCATTTTCCTAAACTTTAGGGAATTAATCAAACTCGACGATTTTTATGTGAATGGATGAGCTTCTTATATAGGTATTTAATTCATTCTGAATTTACAAAGGCTGGATTGATTTATTCACGTCTTTTTTTTTTGATTTATAGATATATCCCTGTTGGATTACTTGAAGTATTACCACAACGTATAAATGAACGTCCACCTATTTTTCATGGTAGAAATGAATTGGAAACATTAATGGCAAGTCCAAATAGTAAAGATTGGGTTAAAATCAGGTAAGATTCAATTTATTTAATGTTCTTTCTATCTATCTATTAATTCAATTAACTATATTTCTTTTCTTTTCTTAAGTGAAATGTTATTAGGACCTGCTCCTGATAGTTTTTCATTTGTACCAAAACACGCTGCAAATTCTTATGAAGGTTAATATGTAGTTATCGAAATTGATTTCTTTTGTTTTATCACGTGTTTTCTAAACAAACAAATAAAATAAATTAAATAAATTACAATTGTAGCAAATTAAAATAAAGTAAATAATCCGCGATCAATTTAACTAAATTTATAAATGATCATCACAATGACATACAACGTTGTTTATAATCGGGGAAAAATTTTTTTGCAACTTCCTATCCTATGTTCCCATATTACATCAAACTGTAAATACTTTTTTTATTTTCAATATCTTAAAACCTTTGTTACTCTTGAAAGTTTAGTAATGGAAGCAGCTGAGGGTGAAGGTTCGAATACCGTCGAGGAGGAAAACATTGAGTGGGTTCACGGTAACTTGAAATATAATATTTCTCATAAAATCAATATAAACTAAAAAGAAAAAAAAAATGTATTTATTATCCTATCTATTAAAATAAAAGGTTCTTCTTTGCCACCTATCGCAAAGCAACCATATGCCTTTAGAAACGCTTTAAAAACAACAATAAAACAAATCTTTTTTAACTCCAGAAGTCGATTCATTAACTCGGATAATGATAACAGAATGTTAATGTTTTTACATGAGAAATCTCAGGAAGTTTCGATTTGCTTGAATAATACGAAGGATGAGATTTTATTTGAAATAGGGGCCGTCAGAGAATTCAAAATTACGATTGATTTCTCAATTATTTTTCGATTTCATTCCGATTTTGTCAAATCAGTAATTATTTTTATTATTATTTTGCTTTGATGCAATTTTGCTTTTGGCATTACTAATGCTGAAAATTTATATACTTTAGTTTTATTCTCATCCGGAAGGATACCCTTACAGGAATAAAGGCAATTATAAAGGCAATTCGAGAGAGGCGGACCCCACGGGTGGAAAGCTAGCCGGAATTACGTGTATTATCCTCAAGCCGGCTACCTCCGACATCAAACATCTTAAAAATGTGGAAACTTCGATCAAGAATATGATCTATATGGCAAAATACCCAAGGGATGACGATGTTAGTATTTTGTTTGTAGTTCGAATTTTATTATTATTATTATTATTAATTATTAATAATACCTCATTTTATAATAATGCACCTTAAGTTTGGAATTAGAGGAAGAAATAACGATAACTATAATTCACGACCTCCTAATGGGAGAAACAAAGTTCATCCAATGGCGCAAAATAACCATCCAATTCCCGCAATTGATCCAAAAGATGTAATGCCGCTTTGCTATAACAAACCAATTAGAAAACGCGATGTAGGCACTTTTATTTTTATTTTATTTTATTAAAATGGATCATAAGCTAATAACTTTTTGTTTGAATTCCATAGATGTATGTAGTATGTGTTTGTCCTTCTCACAAACGCGCGATTGTTTATTCATCCGAGGGTATATTTAGTCATTTCCAATTTATTCTTAAACAACGATTCGGTTGGAAGTGGGAGAGGATGTGGTATAAAAATAAAATCGGAATATGGACGGAACTCAACAATGAAGAAGTTTGGATCAGTGTGAAAAAACTAGTCGTTGATAAAGCGATTCCAAGAATCGAGGTTTTTATGAGATAAAATATTTACTAGATAGTAAATATATTTTATAAATAATATGTATATATATATAGTATATATATATATATATATATTTTTTTAAAAAAAAAATTTTTTTTTTTTTTTAAATTTTTTTTTTTCTTTTCTTTTCTCTTTTTTCTTTTTCGAGGACAATAATGATAAAATATATGCATAGCAGAAAACGTGTATTTTTAGTTCAAATGTAAAATATAGAGGATGGCGCAGTAATTGGTCCTAACTTTTTATTTGGTTTGTATGCCATATAATAAAAAAAAAATTTTAAAATAAAAAAAAAACCAAAAAGCCTCAATCATCAATATAAAAATTTCAAAGCCCCAAAATATTTTCGATTATCATGAAATTTAAATGATTGATGGATGATAGTGACTCATAATAGCTAATCAATTGTTTAGTCATAAATGTTATAAATAATTCATTGACCAAACTCTCTCTCAAAAAAAAAATTTTTTTTTTTTTCCGATAATCATGACAACTTTATCGGAGCAACCTGAACCAGATGTAGTCAAAGTTTCTATTTTAAATGAGGAATCAATCATTTTAGGATTTCATTTAACGAAATTTATGTTACGAGACGTGATAACGATTATTCCTTCATCAACTTATGTGATCTGTACTGATAATAATATTGCATCAATTTATCTTTCAAAAATTGTTGATAGCTTTAATTTAATCTGTTCAGAAATAACACTATCTAAAGGTGAAAATGCTTCAAAACCAAGATTGATTACTTACATTATACCACCAGGTGAACAATCAAAATCACGAGATACAAAAGCTGATATCGAAGATTTTCTTCTTAGTAAAGCATGCACAAGGGATACTTGTATTTTAGCGATGGGTGGTGGCGTGATAGGTGATTTGGTTGGATTCGTTGCATCTACTTTCATGAGGGGTGTCCCCTTTGTACAAATTCCAACAACTTTACTTGCCATGGTGGATTCATCAATTGGTGGGAAAACAGCTGTTGATACTCCAAATGGTAAAAATTTGATTGGATGTTTTTGGCAACCGAAAAGGATTTACATTGATTTAATCTTTTTGGAGACTTTACCTGAAAGAGAATTTATTAATGGAATGGCCGAGGTTATCAAAACCGCGGCAATTAGTAATGAATTGGATTTTATTAATTTGGAAAATGGCGTAGAAAGTATCCGTGAAGCAGTATTAAACCCTAAAAGAGACATTCCATTTCAAGGTATATCAAAATTATTATAATGATCAGGATTAAAAAAAAAAAAAAAATTTTTTTTTTTTTGACGATAAAAATGTACATTATATTTATTATTGTTAGGTGCGACGATTGCAACTCGAACTCCATCACAATCTTTACTGTTATCCGTAATTATGGCATCGGCTAAATTTAAAGCTCACGTGGTAACACACGATGAACGAGAAGGTGGACTTCGTGGCTTACTTAATTTTGGTCATTCGATTGGTCATGCTATCGAAGCTATTTTATCTCCGGAACTACTTCATGGAGAATGCGTTTCAATTGGAATGATCAAGGAAGCAGAAATCGCTAGGCATCTTGGTTATCTTAATCAAGTTGCTGTTGGTAGATTATATAGAGTTTTAAATAGTTATGGCTTACCGGTTTCATTGGATGAAAAGAAAGTTCTGGACTTGGTTGGCAAAAAATTTTGTACAGTTGATAGATTAATGGAAATTATGAAAGTTGACAAGAAGAATCGAGGAGATCAAAAAAAAATTGTCATGCTTTCATCCATTGGAAATACTTATGAGAAAAAGGCGACCGATATTTCGGATTCTATAATTCGTAAAATATTGTCGCCTGAAATAATGGTCTTACCCATTAAATCCTCTCCAAATATTTCATCAACTCACGTTACGATGAAAACCCCAGGTTCAAAATCTATTTCAAATAGAGCTTTAGTCCTTGCAGCATTAGGTGACGGTACTTGTAGGCTTAAAGGTCTGCTCCATTCGGATGATACCCAAGTTATGTTGGTTGCTTTACAAAATTTAGGGGGAGCGAGGTTTGAATGGGAGGATAATGGCGAAACTTTAGTTGTAACTGGTGGTGGTGGTAATCTTCAAATTCCCGATAATGAGCTTTACCTTGGGAATGCGGGTACAGCTTCAAGATTTCTTACCACAGTTTGTACTTTGGTATCAGCCGACACAGCTACCAAAACTAAAAAGCATACCATCTTAACCGGGAATGCGCGTATGAAACAACGTCCGATCGGTCCTTTAGTTAACGCACTTCGTGCTAATGGATCTCAAATTCGTTACGTCGAAAAGGAAGGATCTCTTCCTATTGAAATAACTCCCTCTCAAACCAAACTCAAGGGTGGTAAAATCAATCTTGCTGCATCTATTTCATCTCAATACGTTTCGTCTATTTTGTTGAGCGCGCCTTACGCTTCGGAATCGGTAACGTTGAGTTTAACCGGAGGTCAAGTCATCTCTCAACCGTATATCGATATGACTATAGCAATGATGGAGTCATTTGGTATTAAAGTCGAACGACTTGAAGGTGATGTTTATCGTATCCCTCAAGGGAAATACACCAATCCTAGCGAGTATGTAATCGAATCGGACGCTAGTTCCGCTACTTATCCTTTAGCTGTAGCCGCAATTACCGGAATCACATGCACTCTTCCAAACATTGGATCTTCATCTATTCAAGGCGATGCCGCATTCGCTGTCAAAGTGTTAAAACCGATGGGTTGCACCGTCACTCAAACCGAGACAAGTACTACGGTTCGAGGGCCCCTTATCGGATCATTGCGTCCATTACCTCATATTGATATGGAAACCATGACCGACGCATTTTTAACTGCATCCGTCTTGGCTGCCGTCGCTAACAATGATAAGGGAGAAGAATGTGTAACTCGCATTACTGGAATTGCCAATCAACGCGTAAAGGAGTGTAACCGAATTGCGGCAATGGTTCATGAGTTGAGCAAGTTTGGAGTAGTCGCATCTGAGCTTCCTGATGGTATTCAAATACATGGATCTAAAATCCAATCTCTCAAAAGTCCTATAGATGGTGTAAAATGTTATGATGATCATCGTGTCGCTATGAGTTTTAGCGTACTTGGATGTGTTATTCCAGATGGAACGATCATTCGAGAAAAGAAATGTGTGGAGAAAACGTGGCCCGGTTGGTGGGATGATTTAGAAACAAAACTAGGTATTAATCTTCTTGGAATCGATTTTGAATCATCGTATCATGATTCATCGGAACAAGCTGATTCATTCGCTAACAAACATTTACAGGATGAGAAAAATGTCAGCATCATTTTTATTGGAATGCGTGGGGCTGGCAAGTCTACGCTCGGAAAAGCCGCCGCCAAAGCGTTAAATCGAGAATTCTTGGATATGGATCATCACTTTGAATCTACGTTATCAACTACGATAACCGAATTTATTGCAAAAGAAGGATGGGAAACTTTTCGTGCTAAAGAGACTGAAATTTTCAAATCATTATTAAATACGCATTCTTCAGGATATATTATAGCATGCGGTGGAGGTATAGTTGAAACCCCCTCGTCCCGTGACCTTTTGAAACAACATTCAAAAAATCACGGAAAAGTCGTTCATATTGTGAGAGATATAAATGATATAATCAGATATTTAAACGAAGATGTTACGCGTCCATCGTTTAATGAAGAATTAATTGATGTCTGGGATAGACGCAAGTGCTGGTATAAGGAATATTCTGATTTTGAATACGTTAGCATCAATACCAGCAACATCAATGGAATAACTAATGAGAAAGATATGACTAGATTTTTAAAATTTATTGTTGGTCAAGATACAAATCTAATTGAACCTTTTGATTTTTTTGGAAGGACAAGGCGTACTTTTTTTGTTTCCTTAACATTTCCGGATGTGAATCCCGCGCTACCAAATATCCCTACCATTACTCACGGAGTGGACGCGATTGAGTTAAGGGTAGATTTACTTTCACAAAATGGTAGCTTACCATCCGTCGAATATATTTCCCAACAATTAGCAATTTTGAGACGTTCTTCACCACTTCCAATTATTTTTACTGTAAGATCACAAGGTCAAGGTGGAAAATATCCTGATACACAAGAGAAAGAGATGTTTTTGCTCCTTGAACATGCCATCAAGTGGGGATGTGAGTATGTAGATGTAGAAATCGGTTGGTCTCCTTCATTAATATCAAAATTGATCAAGAAGAAGGGGAATACTAAAATCATTGCTTCTTGGCATGATATATCTGGCACAATGCAATGGGATGGCGAAGAGGTTAGACGACGACATAGAGTCGCTCAAGAATACGGGGACATCATTAAGATAATTGGGCGTGCGAATTGCCTCTCTGATAATTTCAAATTACAAAACTTTGTCGAGTCGCGACATTCTGATAAACCTATCATTGCAATTAACATGGGAGCTGATGGACAACTTTCGCGTATATTGAATCAACATCTCACACCAGTTACACATCCATTATTACCATCAAAAGCTGCCCCTGGTCAACTTTCCGTTGCTGAAATTCACAAATCCCTTCATTTAATTGGTCAATTACCAAAGAAAAAATTTTATCTTTTTGGTACGCCTATAGCTCATTCAATGTCACCTACAATTCATAACACTGGGTTTGAAGTTTTAGGCTTACCACATTATTATGATATATTTGAATCCGAAGATGTGGCAGCTGTTAAGCCTATTATCGAAGATGCCGAATTTGGAGGTGGCTCTGTGACAATACCCCATAAAATAAGTATTATCCCTTTCTTGGATCAGATCACCGAACATTCTAAATTAATAGGAGCAGTGAACACAATCCTTGTCGATGAAAACAAAAATGGACGTAAATTAATTGGAGATAACACGGATTGGTTAGGAATTTTTCATTCAATTAAGGATTCGATTGAAATTAATTCCAAGACGACGGGTTTAATTATTGGTGCTGGTGGAACTTCTCGTGCGGCGTTATATGCTTTACATCAATTGGGGGTCTCTACAATCTATGTATA